AGACAAAGCCAATTACTATAATGCAATGTGCAAAGACCTGGAGTTAGAAAACCAAAAGGGAAGAACCAGCTCGGCATTTCTCCAGCTGAAAGAATTGAAGAAAAAATTTAAGCCTTGAGTTGCAATATTGAAAGATTCTAAGGGAAAAACATTGAATGATGAAGGGAACATCAAAAGAAAATTGAAGGAATACACAGAGTCACTGTACCAAAAAGAACTGGTCTATCTTCATCCATTTCAGGAGGTGGCATATGGTCTAGAACCAATGGTAATGAAGGAGAAAGTCAAAGCTGCAATGAAGGAATTGGTGAAGAACAAGGCTCTGGGAATTGACAGAATACCCATTGAGATATTTCAACAAACTGGTGCCGCACTGGAGGCACTCACTCGGTTATGCCAAGAGATTTGGAAGACAGCTACCTGGCCAACTGTCTGGAAGAGATCCACATTTGTACCCATTCCAAAGAAAGGTGCTCCCACAGAATGTAGAAGTTATCGAACAATATCATTAATATCGCACACAAGTAAGATCTTACTGAAAATAATTCAAAAACGGTTGCAGCAGTATATTGACAGAGAACTTCCAGAGGTGCAAGCTGGATTCAGAAGAGGACGTGGAACAAGGGATATCATAGCTGCTGTCAGATGGATCTTGGCTCAAGGCAAAGAATACCAGAAAGATGTTTACTTGTGCTTTATTGACTAGGCAAAGGCATTTGATTGTGTGGATCATGACAAATTATGGATAACATTGAGAAGAATGGGAATTCCCAAACACTTGATTGTACTCATGAGGAACCTATACCTTGATCAGGAGGCTGTCATTCAAAAGGAACAAGGGGACACTGCATGGTTTAAAATCAAGAAGGGAGTGCATCAGGGTTGTATCCTTTCACCATACTTATTCAATCTATATGCTGAGCAAGTAATCCGAGAAGCTAGACTATATGAAGAAAAACGTGGCATCAGGATTGGAGGAAGAATCATTAACAACCTGAGATACATTGATGATACAATTTTGCTTGCTGAAAGTGAGGATGACTTGAGACACTTACTGATGAAGATTGAGGAACACAGTCTGCAATATGGATTACATCTCAATATAAAGAAAACAAAAATCCTCACAACTGGAACAATAAGCAGCATCACGATAAATGGAGAAAAGATTGAGGTTGTCAAGGAGTTCACATTGCTTGGTTCTACAATCAAGGCCAATGGAAGCAGCAGTCAGGACATTAGAAGACATGTAGCACTGGGCAGGTCAGCTGCGAAGGAACTCTTTCAAGTGCTGAGGAACAAGTATGTCTCCTTGAGGACTAAGGTGCGCCTGACACAGGCCATGATATTTCCAATCACCTCATATGCATGTGAGAGCTGGACAATGAATGAGGAAGACCAAAGAAGAGTTAATGCTTTTGAGTTGTGGTGCTGGTGAAGACTGCTGAAAGTACCATGGACTGCTAAAAGAACTAACATCTGTCCTGGAAGAAGTGCAACCGAGATGCTCCTTGGAAGCAAGTATGACCAGACTTCATCTCACCTACTTTGGTCATGTTGTCAGAGGGTACCATTCCCTGGAGAAGGATGTCATCCTTGGTAAGGTGGAGGGTCGATGAAAGAGGGGAAGACCTTCGACGAGTTGGATTGACATGGTGGGTGGAACAATGAGCTCAAGTATAGCGAGGATCATGGAGCTGGCACAGGATGGGGCGGTGTTTCATTCTGCTGTGCATGGAGCCTCTATGAGTCAGAAGCAACTTGACAGCACTTAACAACAACGTTTATCACTGGTTACCAGGGATTTGTGGGAGAGGAGGCATAAGTATTCTGTAGGTAATAGTAGTCACTTTTTGTTTATAGAAATGAAAATGTGGCACTGAATATAAGTGAATTTTGCACAGCATAACTGTTGTAACTGATGTCAATAACACAACATAGGTTGTGTATAGCTTTGGAGAAATAACAACAACCAAAAAGGGGTGGGGTTAGAGATGCTGATACTGATTAGATATAACCAATCACCTTGTGGGATTAATTTTTTTTATTTTAGGGGCTAAGGGTCATGATATCATGGGACCATCAGTCAATTGACATAATATAGTTTCTAAAGTTTATCTTCTGCCTCCCAGTATGGTGAGTAGTATCTGGGATCTTAAAAGCTTATGAGCAGCCATCTAAGATACAGCTGTTGGTCTTTATTTCTCTGGAACAAAAGAGAAACAAGGAAATCCAAGAATCAGAGAAGAAAGTGGACTAATAATCTATATGAGTCACTGCCTCCTGTACCCTAAGACCAAAGAAGAGTTGATGCTTTTGAGTTGTGGTGCTGGTGAAGAATGCTGAAGGTACCATGGAACTAGATGGTGACTGGCTACAACTACTGATTTAACACAATAGATGAATCCTAATAAAAGGAAGAAAAATATGGAACAGAACTTAAAATTCTCAGAGAATCTAGACTTACTGGATCTATTGAGGCTGGAGGGCTTCTGGAGACTATGGTCCTGAGTTGATCTTTGTCTTGGTTTTCCAGTGCTTTTACAACAGAAATACCAGAAGTGGATGGATTTAACAAACAGAATTTTTTTCTCCTATAGTTTAGGAGGCTAGAAGTCTTAGCTCAGAGTGCCAACTCTAGGGGCTGGGCAGAGCCCTCTGAATCTTAGGCTTCAACCTCTTACTCCAGGCCCACTGGAGCAAGCTAAAGGCTTTTTCTGACTCATGCAGGTGCTGGTTGATGAGGCTGACGAACCCAAGATGGATAGGTAAAATGACACAATCCCAGGTTCGGCATGAAAAATGTGAGGCCACTGGTTCAAGACCCCAAGACTAATCCCAAAATTGTCAGACAGCACAGCAAGCCAATGGTTATCCAAATGTGCTCCCTGCAAAAAACAAAACAAACAAACAAACAAACAAACAAACAAAAAAAACAGAGACCTTTCTCAAAGCTTCTCCTTATATACTGGAAGCAGGATGCCGGGGAAGGCAACTACTTAGCTGTTCACAGCAGCTTCCACTATGCAGGTGATTATGATCTCATCATGGGGAATAACTACATCCAGCTGCCCAGCCACTCAAATCACAGCTCAGCCAAGTTGACGCATAACCTTAATTACCATAGTCTTCAAACTTTGAATTGAAATTATCTACTGAAGTCACCTTTAAACTAATTAACAGTTCAGCCCAAAGAGTAAAGATTGTCACCTATGAGTATTATTTTTCTTTCAATATTATCTCTATAAGACTAAAGATTCAACAGCTGTTTAAAAGTAAAGATGAGAAGATCGAGGAACAGAGAGATTAAATGAATGGAAGTGAAAGAACTGGAAAAGAACAAGAATGTTGACCCAATATGAAAAATTTGTCCATGATCTAGATGTTTCTAGATCATCATGTCTAGAAATTGTGGAAGAAAACCCTATGGATCACAGTCCAACTCTGACACACATAGAGTCACCAGGAGTCAGAATCAACTCCACAGCAACTCTTTGGTCATTTATTGAGTGGTTTATGTTACTGAGCCCTTGCCAGGTAACAATAATCATGGCTGGTAGAGGAGAGTCTCACAAAGCAATCTCTGTCACCAGCAATACAAGGTCTTTGAGGTCAGAGAAACATTGCAAGATGGAGGGAAGACTTTAAACAGTAGGGAATGGGGTTGAACCAGTGGTGCTGGGCAGCAAGATCACTTCAGATAGAGGAAAGAGCTCAGTCAGCTTGGCAAGCTGGGTAGGTATCCCAAGAACAGGGGATGCTGGTGGGGAGTAAGGGGCAAAACAAAAGCATGGATGAGGGGCAGGCATGAGGTTTGAGATGGGTTTGGGCCAGATCAGGCCTGACTTTGATTTAAACCTTAGGACCTTTGGGGATGAGTTCTTAAACCATGGATGTGGCATGTGGTCAATACTTAAACACCTCTTTCTCCAAGCATTTTGTGTGTGTGTGTGTGTGTGTGTTAAAATATTTACAAGTCCACAAATGAGTCTTTGCTCCTAAGTATGGTACGAGGTCAGTAGTTGGTGGATTTTCTACTCTGCAGCTGACGGGAGTCCTGATGGTAGCTGTCCACTCACACCTGTGCAGATTCCTGTTCTACTCCCTGGCTCCACGGAGCACCTTTGGAGATTCCTCCCATGTGCTGCCATTTCGTTTTCTAGGAAGGAACAGAAGAGAAGCATTCTCAGGGCTTTCTAAGTCTAACCAGTGGGTCACCGCTTGCTACTATGGTCCTATTTTTACAGTAATGACAACTTTGTGGCTGACAATGGTAAGTACATGGAAACCAGAGTTTGAAGTAGAGGTTTGTAGGAGCATCACCTGATGTTTCTGTGGCATTCTCTTTGGTGCATATGCATATTTCTACTGTGCATAAGCCAAGTCTCATGGTAACAAACCACTAAGCCCAACTGACCTAGCTCAGGCAGTGCCTGGACATAATAGCATCAACTATCCTTAGCCTGGAATGGCTCCAGCATAATATTCCCCACTTCCCCTCCTCCTCTCCTCTAGGAACCCTCTTAGCCTGCTTGCCCATGCTGAGGTTCATCTTTTCTCTCTGTTTTAAGGGTATTTCACGTAAGCTTATCCTGTAGCAGGGGCAGTTCTAGTCTTGTTATTGCAATCCTTTTATCTGAAAAACATCCAGTCAGCCAACTTTTATTGTGAACCACTGTTGTTAGGTGCCATCTAGTCATATTCAACTCATAGTAACCCTACATACAACAGAATAAAACACTGCCCAGGCCTGCATCATCTTCATAATGATTGCTATGCTTGAGTTCATTGTTGCAGCCACTGTGTCAGTCCATCTCATTGAGGGTCTTGCCCTTTTTTGTTGATCCTCTATTTGTCAAGCATGATATCCTTCCTTCTCCAGGGACTAGTCCCTCCTGATAACATGACCAAAAGTACAAGAGACAAATATTTGGCCATTCTTGCTTTTAAGGAGCATTTCAACTTGTACTTCTTGTGGGGATAGATTTGTTTGTTCTTCTGGCAGACCACTGTATAGTTGATATTCTTCCCTAACATCATAATTCAAATGCATCAGTTTTTCTGTGGTCATCCTTATTCATTGTCCAGCTTTCACATTCATATAAGACTATTTAAAAAAACAATGGCATGGGTCAGGTGCACATTAGTCTTCACCATGACCTCTTTGCTTCTTAACACTTTAAAGAGGTCTTTTGCAGTACATTTTCCCAGTGCGATACATCATTTGATTTCTTGACTTCTGTGTCCTTGGGCATTAATTGTGGATCCAAGTAAAATGTAATCCTTGACAACTTCAGTCTTTTCTCCATTTGTCATAATATTGCTTATTGATCCAGCTGTGAGGATTTTTGTTTTCTTTATTTTGAGGTCTAATCCATACTGAAGACTGTAGTCTTGATCTTCATCAGTAAGTGCTTCAAGTCTTCTTCACTTTCAGCAAGTAAAATTGTGTCATCTGTATATTACAGGTTGTTAATGATTCTTCCTCCAATCCCAATGCCACATTCTTCTTCATACAGTCCAGCTTCTTAGATTATTTGCATACCAACTGAATAAGTACAGTGACAGGACACAACCTTGATGCACACCTTTCCTGTTTTTAAACCATACAGTTTTCCTTCGTTCTGTTTGCCTCTCAGGTTCCTCATGAGCACAATGAGTTCTGTAACTCCCATTCTGTGCAATGTTAGGCATTATTTGTTAGGATCCACACAGTCTAATGCCTTTGCATAGTTAGTAAAACACAGGTAAAGATCTTTCTTATATTCTTTGCTTTCAGCCAAGATCCATGTGACATCAGCAATAATGTCCCTCATTCCATGTTGTCTTCTACATCCAGCTTGAATTTCTGGTAGTTCCTTGTCTATGTAGTGCAAGTTTACTTATGTGTGATAATAATGATATTATTTGATAATTTCCATGTTCTGTTGGATCACCTTTCTTTGGAATGGTTCTATTGTGAACTGGAATTAAATTATTTGATAGATGTTTTTATATGCATGAGGCCTTGGCTGGCACTTGCATTTCTTTTAATCATACTAAGGATTTTGTTGCAAAGGAGTCAGACACAGAACACTTTGTCTTCTGATTCAGTAAGCCTTCACTTGCCTTACAGGACCAAATCCCTGCTCCTTTCAACTCTCTTGGCTCCCTGCTCACACCACTTACAAAACCACCTGCCCAACCCATTCACCCATCCACTCACACATGCATTTATTCAACAATTATTTATAGAGTGCCTATTATATGCAGATAATTGGGATACAAAAATAATAATATATAGTACCTGTCCTGAGAGAGTTCATAAGTCACAGAAAAGACATGTTTATAAACAACTAATCACAGCAATTTTTATATTTTTTGGATAAAAATCTTTTACTGGATATGTGATTTGCAAATATTTTCTTCTAGTCTGTGGCTTCTCCTTTCATTCTCTTAATAGTATCTTTTGCAGAGCCAAATTTTCATTATGATAAAAGCCATTTTTTAAATGGTGTCATATCTAAAAATACATTGCCAAATCCAAAGTCACATATTTCCTCTCAGGTTTTCTTCTAAAAGGGTTATGCTTTTAAATTTTATATTTAAGTCAATAATGCATTTTGAATTAATGTTAGTATAAGAGGTGAAGTATTCATTGGAGTTAGTGTTTTTGTATATGAATATCCAGTTGCTCCTGCATCATTTTTGAAGACTTTTTTTTTTTCTCCATAGAATTGTCCTTGCACTTTTGTCAAAAATGTGTTGACTGAATGAATCTATATGGGTTTATCTCTGCATGCACTCTTCTGCTCCACTGATCTATCCTTGTGTTAATGCAGCATTCTCTTGATTACTATCATCCTAGAGTAAGTCTTAAAATATAAAGGTTGAATCCTCTGACTTTGTACTTCTTTTTCGTTTTGGCTACTCTTGGTCTTTTGCCTTTGCATATAAATTTTAGAATCAGCTTGTCAATATCTGCAAAGAAACATGCTGGGATTTTGGTTGAAATTGCATTGAGTCTTGTGGTAGTTAGGGTTGTATGTCGACTTGACTGGACCTGGTTTTAAGTGGCCAGTCAGCTGGGTATATTTATTCCCCATGATAAGACTGGTAATCAAGTCCATGGTGGAATCTACTGGAGCAGCTGAGTAGATGCCTTAGGGATGTGGTCTGCTTCTAGCATATAAGAAAAAGCATTGAGAAAAGTCTCTGGAGCTTTTAGTATCTCTGGATCCTGCATTTGGCTGAGTCATCATCTCAGTGGCCTGCCATATTGTCTGCTGATCTTGAAACTGTTAATGGAATTGAATTAGTGCCCTCCTGTATGATTTGATAATTTTGGGACTATGCCATTTTACTTATCAATCTTGGGTTTGTCAGCCTCAGCAGCCAGCAGTTGTCTGAATTAAGAGAAGTCTCCAGTTTCAGTGGGCAAGGAGCAAGAGGCAGAGCTAAAGCCCAAGGTTGAGGGAACCTGGAACTGGCACTTTGAACTCAGACTTCTAGCCTCCTAAGGCTAAGAGGATAAATCCTGTTTGTTCAAGCCACTCATTTATGGTATTTTCTGTTAGAGCTGCACTAGAGAACTGAAACAAATCTATAAATCAAAATTGGTGAGAATTGACATCTTAATAATATTAAATTTTTCCATTCAAGAATTATGTATATCTATGCATTTATTTAGATCATCTTTGATTTCTCTCCAGTATTTTGTAGTTTTCAACATACAGATCTTTAACAATTATATGCAGTCTTATAGCTTAACTAGTTTTTTCAAAGATTGGGTCATTTATAAAAAACTAATTTGTTCTTCCTGAAGAGATGTGATATTTGAGCTGAACCTTGTTTGATGAGCAGGAGATCAGCTTGTGGAGACAACTGGCAATAGCATTTGTAGGCAGAGGGCAGAGCAAGAGCTAAGTTAGAAAGGGAGATCCAGGCCATTTTAAAGTTGAGCAATCATAACATTGTAAAGGATGGTTGGAGCCTTGAATGGAGGGCCCTGAATGTCAAGCTAAGGCACTTAGACTTTATCATCTGTCTTAGTTTCCTAGTGCTGCTATAACAGAGATACCACAAGTGCATGCTTTTAATGAACACAGATTTACTTTCTCACAGTTTAGGAGGCTAGAAGTCCAAATTCAGGGCACCAGCTCTAATGGAAGGCTCTCTCTGTATACTCTGGAGGGGAATCCTTGCCTCAGCTTCTCTAAGCATTCTTTTAAAAGTTCCTTGAAGATCTCTTTGTGACTTTTATCTTTCTTCCATTGGTAATTACTTGCTTCTGTGCCTAATCTTCTCTTTTTATATCTCAAAAGCAGTTAAGTTTAAAACACACTGTACACTAATATGACCTTATTAATGTAATGAAAAAATTGCTGTTCCCAAATGGGAGTACAAGCATAACAGTTAGGATTTACAACAGATGATTTTGGGAGTCACAATTAATCCCTAACATCATATAAAACAGGGAGAAATAATATATTAATGTCTGTGTTCAGAAGAGTCAGATCACTTCTCTACATGTGTCAGTCTCATATAGCTACTTTTGCTGGTGAAGTATAGGGTTCAGACTTACATACAACCAGGCCCCAGTTATATACTGGTGCCTTTCCTGCCAGGTCCCTGGGCAAACCTGATGTTTCCTTGGCATAGTCATGCTCTCCCATTGCCTCACTCACAGCCCATCATGGCTCACAAGCTGACTTTGAAATTGAGAAGCAGGTTTTGCATGTGGAGATGGACATCATCCTAGTCATCTTCATCCTCAACTAACAGATATTGAAAATATCCTTTATAATAAGATTCATTTCTGTAGCTGAGATCATCATACTGCAATTTCATTCAATTATTGAGAGGTATTTTCCTAATTTTTACCAAGCTATTACTGTTTTATCAAAAGTTCATAAATTAGCATCATCAGATATCATTTGTATTTCAAAGTTTAAAAATTTAACAAAGCTATTTTTCAGTTTGCTAACATGAATTCTGTCCTTTTATTCTCCCCAGCTGAGAGGTTCCTTCATGATTTTCACCAGAAAAAGGAAATCTTTTCAAAGTAAATGTCCTGTGAGACTTAAAGATGCCATTTCTCACACATGGGGAAAGGCCTTGATCTTTCTAGGACTGGAAAGACCAAGGTTGGAAGAGACTCAACTGGTTGAGAATCATGTAAGCAATGGAGTTCTTGCATCAGTGAGAAAAATAGTACATTTTAAAGGATGATATGATTGTAGAATTTTGCTTTGAGTTATTAAATTATAATTGTGATTCTGTGTGAAACATCACTGCAAAGCCACAAAGTTAGTCAGCTATAATGAAATTCATGGAATTTTCCCTTGAAATTGTAAAGTACTTTACAGTTACAAAGCACATTCTCCTCCATTAACTCATCATATTCCCATAATGACCCTGTAAGTTGGGAAAGACAGAGTTTATGATCCTTATCCAACACATACACACATACTACTCTATTCCCTTCAGAGTTAGTTATTTGCTTTTGATACCTGCTAACAAACTAAAACTTCTACCTGACACATGGAGCCTTAGGTGCAGTGTTTGAGTGTAATCATCCCAGGTCTCAATGCAAGCAAACCATAGCAGGTATTTTCACATTGCGTGCCCAGTCATTTTCTATTGCTGATATTTTAGTTCTTAAACCAGTCATTTGAAATAGTGATATTCTGCATTTTCATAAGGCTTTACTGTTTATCACATACTTTCCCATACATTCTTGCTTTTGAGTCTATTCTCCAACCCTTTATGTAGGAATCATTATCCATAATATTCATGTACATATATGTGTATGCCTATGAAGGAGCCTCTGGTAGCATAGTGGCTAAGACACTTGCCTGCTAACCAGACGGCTGGCGGTTCAAACCCACCAGCCACTCCTCGGAAGGAAGGTTGGGCAATCCTACTTCCGTAGTGATACTGCCTCGGAAACCCAAGGAGGGGTCGCTATGAGTCGGGGCCGACTCGACGGCATATAACAACATAACAACAACATAATAAATGAGGAAACTTAGGTACAGAGACATGAAAAGAGTAGCCCAAAGCCTAGATTTTCTGACTCCAGAGTCTAATTTTTGTTCTGTTTTTAACATACCACATTGCTATCTAAAGCCAGTACTACTAACTACTTCATGGAATGTGGAAAGTAGAATTATGTTCTTGAATGCATTTGGTAATCGAATTGTCTCCTCTTCAGAATTACTACCTGGACGAAATTTCAGATCTGTTAAATGAACTGCTATTGAAGATTAATGGATTGTCCGAAAGCCTACATCTCTCTGTTTTAGACAAGCAGTCCAAAGGCAAAGTGGAGGCAAAGGCAGAAGACAATCCCTTGGTGGGTGTTTCTGCCTACCAAGCTACTAGGGTAAGCATACACAAAATTATTTTTATCAATTTTCTTTAGCAAAATGTTTGTTTAAGTTCTAAAGGAGGTTTGCAGCAATTGTACAAAAATCATGAGGCCCATTTGCATAAATAATATTCTTTAAAGTTAATACTAGCCACTCTGGTCAGAACTGAAGACCTGCTTAATCATTTGAAACATATGATGTGATTTCCAGTTTAAAGAAAAACCAAATTCACTGTCGTCAAGTTGGATCCAACTCATAGTGACCCTCCTTGGATTTCTGAGGCAGTATCTTTACAGAAGTAGATTGCCCACCCTTCCTTCCAAAGAGTGGCTGGTAGGTTTGAACCTCTAGCTTTCTCGTTTGTGGTCAGGTGCCTTAGGCACTACGTCACTAAAGCTCCTAAAGTTTAAAGAAGCTCCTAAGTTTAAAGAAGTGATATAAATATCTATCTCTTTCCTTGTTTCTGATTTGTCATTAGTTGCTGTCAGGTCAGTTATGAACTATGGCAACTCCATGTGTGGAGTGTAGAACTGCTCCACAGGATTTTCAAGGCTGTGGCCTTTCAGAAGCCGCCTATCACCAAATCTGTCCTCTGAGGCACTTCTGGGTGGGTTTTGAACAGTCAGTCCTTTGGCTAATAGTTAAGAACTTAACTGTTTGCACTACTCAGGGACTTATTCCTGATTAAAACTATAATAAACTGTTGTTGTTGTTGTTGTTATGTGCCATCGAGTCAAACCCGACTCATAGCGACCCCTCCTTGGGTTTCCGAGGCAGTATCACTACGGAAGTAGGATTGCCCAACCTTCCTTCCGAGGAGTGGCTGGTGGGTTTGAACCGCCAGCCGTCTGGTTAGCAGGCAAGTGTCTTAGCCACTGTGCTACCAGAGCTCCCATAATAAACTGTAGTAAGTCTGTACTAAATGGTTGCTATGAATTGGAACCAATGGCAGCGGGTTTGGTTTTGATTTTATTATAATAAACTGTAGTAAAATCAAAACCAAACCCGCTGCCATTGGTTCCAATTCATAGCAACCATTTAGGACAGACTAGGAGAGCCTCATAGGAGCTCTGGTAGCACAGTGCCTAAGGCATTTGACTGCTAACGAGAAGGCTGGTGGTTCAAACCCACTAGCCACTCCTTGGAAGGAAGGTTGCACAATCTATTTCTGTAGTGATACTGCCCCGGAAACCCAAGGAGGGGTCGCTATAAGTCAGAGTCAGGTCTAACTCGATGGCATGTAACAACAACAGGAGAGCCTTACAGAGTTTCCAAGGCTGTCCTGTAAATCTTTGCAGAAACAGAATGCCACATCTTTCTTCTGTGTGGCTGGGGGTTCCAAATTCTGATCTTTTAGTTAGCCACTGAGTTCTTAACCACTGTGCCACCAAGGCTCCTATAACAAACAAACAGACTGAGAAAAAGAAATGGAAAATTCCATCCTTCTTGAAACTAAGAAATATCTTAAGATGGAAAACCATGACCAATAATTAAGAATAGATGGCCAATGGCCAATATCACCAATAACAGTGATAATTAAACCAAAGGAAGAAAGGATGCCACTACTTCCATGAGAGCACACAATTCTCCAAATAAGATGGCATACTCTGAGGGCCAACTGAAAACTCCTTGTTTGGAATAAAACATTATAGAGCAAACAAAGGAATCATATTGAATCCTGATTATCATGACAGAGCTTTGGGTACATAAGACTATAGAGAGGATATGCAGAGAATTCATCTTTGTATGAAGCAATTGTTGGTGTGGCAGCCTAGAGGAGGAACTGTTGGTGGCTCACAAATCTAGACTATATGAAGAACAATGCAGCAGATGACTCAACCTTGGCTTGCTGAAAGTGAAGAGGACTCAAAGCACTTACTGATAAAGATCAAAGACTACATCCTGTAGTATGGATTACATCTCAACATAAAGAAAACTAAAATTCTCTCAACTGATCCAATAAGCAACATCATGATAAATGAAGACAATATTGAATTTGTCAAGGATTTCATTTTACTTCCATCCACAATCAGCCATGGAAGCAACAGTCAAGAAATCAGACATATTGCACTGGGCAGATCTCCTTCAAAAGACCTCTTTAAAGTGTTAAAGAACAAAGACATCATTCTGAGGACTAAGGTGCACCTGACCAAAACCATGGTTTTTAACTGTCTCAAATGCATGTGAAAGCTGCACAATGAATAAGGAAAACCAAAGAAAAATCGATGCATTTGAATTATTGTTTTGGTGAAGAATATTGAATATACCATGGATTGCCAGAAGAACAAACAAATCTGTCTTGGAAGTATAGCCAACATGCTCCTTAGAAGTCACAATGGTGAGGTGTCATCTCTTATATTTTGGTCATGTTATCAGGAAGGACCAGTCCCTGGAGAAAGGTCAGTAGAGGGTCAGCCAAAAAGGGGAAGGCCCTCAATGAGATGGATTGACACAATGATTGCAGCATTGGGCTTATGCATAGTAACTATTATGAGGATGGTGCAGAACTGGGCATTGTTTTGTTCTATTGTACATGGGGTCACTATGAGCCTGAATTGACTTAACAACACCTAACAATAACATTTTACTTTTTGTTTTGTATAATGTCTTGTCTTTTTGTTCCTCTTTACTATTTTCATTTACATTAAGTAAATATTTTTTAAGTGAAACATTCTATTTCATTTCATGATTTTTTCACTGTATTTTTGAGGATTTTTGTTTTTGTTTTTTCAGTGGTTGTTTTAGGGCTTAGCCTATGTATCGTACGACAAAGCAGAAACTGCTTCAGATTTATTGTAATCAATTCTAGTTGATATAGAGATAATACTTCTATATAGCTCTATTCTCTCCCCCTCTTTTTTGTGCTATTATTGTTATACATATCACATCCATATATGTTACAAGCCCAGCATTATTATAATTTTTTACTTGATACAAGTTTATGTATTTTAAAGAAACCAAGAGAGGATAAAAGAACAAGTGTACAATTATAAAGCTAATTAAATTAACCTTCTTGTTTACATTTTCTGTTTGTTTTTTTTTTTTTTATTTCTTCTGGTGGATGTATTCCTGTGGCACTATGTGCTGTCATTTCCTTAGTCCAATACAGCTTTGCCAACAACCACCTCCTTTATGCTGTTATTTTCAACTATATTACGTTGTGGTATGTTTTAGGCCCAATAATACAATTATATGCATTTGTTTAATATTATTACTTTTAATCAGTTAAAAGAAAAATGGAGAGTAAATATACATTTGTACTATCTTTTATAATTACATGCTTATCTTTACTGGTGCTCTTTACTTTTTTCATGTGAATTTCAATGTCTCACTTGCTTTCAGCTTGAAGAACTTCCTTTAGTATTTCTGAAAGGTGGGTCTGCTAGAAACAAATTGTCTTTTTACTTTTCTGAGAATGTTTTTTATTTTACCTTCATTTTTGAAAGATGGCTTTGCTGAATAATAGTCTTGGTTGAACTTTATTTTCTTTCATAATTGTATATGTTTTCTCACTGCCTCTGACTCCATTATTTCTAGTAAGAAGTCAGCTATTATTCTTACTGGGGTTCCCTTACACATGATGAGCCATTTTTCTCTTGCTTCTTCAAGATTATTCATTTATAGAAAGGGCAAGGAAATACTGTTGTTGTTGTTGTTGTTAAGTGCTGTTGAGTCATTTCTGACTCATAACGACCCCATGCACAGCAGAATGAAACACTGCCCAATCCCGCACCAGCCCCATAATCCCTGCTGTACTTGAGCCCATCATCATAGCCACCATGTCAATCCATCTCGTTGAAGGCCTCCCCCTCTTTCATCGACCCTCCACCCTACCAAGCCTGACATCCTTCTCCAGGGAATGGTCCCTTCTTACAACACGACAAAATAGGTGAGACAAAGTCTGGCCATTCTTGCTTCCCAGGAGCATTCTGGCAGCACTTCCTCCAGGACAGATCTGTTAGTTCTTTTAGCAGTCCATGGTACTTTCAGCATTCTT